CTACAGCAGACTGCCACACAATACCTATCTCCATTATCCTGCATTTATCCGAGTTTACATGCCATGGACTGTGATAACACTTCCAGTTACAGATAGCTAAAGCCACAATCCAATAGTCATACAGACCTAAATACAACATGTGAATGACATGCTTAAGTTAGTCCTGAGTAACTGAAATATTGTCTTACCATATGCAGATTTTGCTCCTTGCTCTGCTTTTGGTATTATTAATAAATGGTGCTCCTCTGAGCAAACTCAGTTTGCCAAGCTAAAAATTGCCTGTTTATTTATTGTTTTAATCTTTGCTTTTTGACTACTTTTTAATCTATTATAGTGATTACCTCTGGGTAACTTTGGTTTCTTTATAATATGTGGAGAATTTTGTAAGGACCTTTTCAAATCTGATGAATCTAAAAGTTAATTTTCTGTCTATTTTAGTTATATCCTCAAAGTTCTCAGACTAAGCAGCTGTTGGACCATGAGAGTCCTTTGCCTGCTTCATTTCACCCTGGCACACTCTGCACCACTATCAGTCATTGTATTCTTGAGATACTTACGTTACACATTTATTAGAACAAATTCTTCTGTTCCCTTCTGTTGTCTCAATACAGAGTTCAGTACAGTAGCTTTGGGTGACTAACCTAAAAATAAATGAGACAGAAACCCTTTTTCTGGCTCTTGCTTCTGAATTTCCCTTTTTTGTTTAACTACACTATGCTTATGTTGTTCCATTGTAATGAGCATCCCAGGTGAGGCTGGAGGTTCACTGGCAAAGCTGTGGGCTGAAGAGGTGGAGAGCAGAAAGGTTTGCAGCTCTGCTCTGTGGTGCTTTCAGCAGAGCATATAGTGAAGGCTGCCCTGGCTTTGTTTGTCTCCAACTGGGCTCCTGGCCATGCTGCTGGTGTTGGAAAATAACTCAGAAATTTAGCATGATGTGGTTATTTTGTGTCAGATGTACTCTACTCTGTATATATATACAAGTTAAAATTGCAGTCAGAGAGGCACACAAATAGTACCACAGCCAGCCCTGAGCAAGGACATCCTGCAATAACCAGGCCTTGAAGAAGGCAATTAATCAAGAGGTTTTCAAGAGTGTCTCATGTAAATCTCCAACTTGGCAGAGAAGACTTGAGGCCTGTAGGGATAATTGGACCTATGGAATGCAGAAGGTGATAAAGAAGAACCAAAATCAAGAATATTGATGGCTAAACCAGTCTTGGGCAGTTGGAGCTGTAGAACCTGAGATAATGTAAACTCTAGGTGAACTTAGCTCATTATAATGTCATTATAATACTAAAAATTACATCCCCCAGTCAAGAAGATCCCTGCTCAGGAGAAGAACCTTTCCCCTGAGCATATGTATTAGCAGAAATAGTGATGTAACCACATTATAACTATATGGAACTCACTGTAAGAAGGATGGACTTGGAAGCTTATTAACTTCATGATTTTGTGTATATATATGTCTTGGAAAAATCTTGGAAAAGCTTGATTTGGGGGAAGACATCAAGCACCCAGCTTTGTACAAACCTGCAGTAAATAAAAATGTCTCCTTCCTAAACGTTGTCTCTTTGTCTGCATATTGGGAGCTGTCTTAAAATGGTAACACTGTGAGTAGGAAACCCAAGCAGACGACATGTAGTGAGCTCTGTGAGGATACATAGCAAGAGCCACTTAAGGTGACATTTGCTTTCCTTGGAATAAATTGTCCAAAGCTTTTTTTTTTTTAAATGTTTTTATTTTTAGTGGAGCATCACTTGCCTCTGGCAGTGTTCCACATGGTAAACACAAGCAGGAGAAGCTTCACTTTTTCATTCTAATTCTCTGACTCAAGTCTTTGTTTCAGAAATGCAACATCCTAAAGACAGGTCATTGCTCCCATTTTCCAAGTGAACTTTGAGCTGTGTGTTTACTGCTGCTAGAGGGCTGGACAACACCAGCATGCAAACAAGTTTTAAAGCTTGTGCTGAGGAATGTTTGTACGATTCAGATAACATCATGTTAATTGGATGAACTGTAGATCAAAAGTGACTTCCAGGCAGGAATGTGTCAGAGCAGCGAACTGCTGAAGTAATGGGAAAACAAGAGCTGAGTCATTAAGTGCAAGTTCCCAACAAGTATCACTTTTGGCGCTTCTGCTTCAGTCACATTGAGATGATTTAATGTTGACTGCGCTGGATGTTTTCACTCCACAGCGCGCCATGTCATGAGGAACACCACGGGAAGGAACCCAGACGCAGCCCCACACGGCCCCGGGGCAGCGCTC